AGAGAGAGAGAGAGAGAGAGAGAGAGAGAGAGGGAGAGAGGAGTTTGAGACAGGGGGTTGTTATGTAGCCCAAGTGGACCTCAAAGTCACCAAGCTGTTTCTAATTCACCATCCTGTCTCATGATCTAAAGTGTTGATATCATAGGTGTGTGCTACCACACCTAGCCTTGGGGCAGGTTTTTAATCTTCATTATAAGAAAGGCAGTTACCATCTTTAAAAGATATAAAAGAGGCAGTTTAAATTTGAGATTGTATAAAATTCTCTTAACATAAATACTGTGGCACTGAGCCAATGTTCTTTGTTTCCCAAAGGCACCATGGCTGAGGAAACAGCCCCAGCAGTTCTTGAGCGCCACCAAGGGTCCTTGTACTCCCTCTTTCCTGATCACAGTGTAAAGAAATACTTTGACCAAGTGGACATCTCCAATGGTTTGGATTGGTCCCTGGACCATAAGATTTTCTACTATATTGACAGCCTGTCTTACTCTGTGGATGCCTTTGACTATGACCTGCAAACAGGACAGATCTGTACGAACATCTTTATTATTTTTATAATACCACTCATATCATTTTTGTATGTTAGTTATCGGTAAGGGATCTCTCCTGCAGCCCATGTGAAAAAGTCTTTATTTGCCAAGTACAGAACTTCAAAATTAATGATGACACAGACTTGACTGGGCTGCCAGTCAAACTGTGGTCCTCAGCACATCCGAACTCTGGTATTTGGGACTAGGGCTTAGCTGGTCTACTGCAGCTAGGCCTGTACTTTTTCTTTCCATCAATGGAAAGAGCCTCCCTGGAGAAAGAATCTTACCCTATCAGACAGTGCCTAGAGGCACACAGTATACAACAGAATGTGATAAAAGGGGGAAAAACTCTGAACATTTTTTGGTTTCTGATTCTTATTTGATCTTTAGTTAACCATAGGCAAGTATTCAGAGGCAAATGAACAACCTTTGAAATGGAAAAATAACAGAAAAGTGCTTCCAGGTTGGTTCAGTTCCATCAATGTTCTGTAAAATGAGCCATCAACTGGAAACTTCTAGGGAAGAAATTATTTAGAAGAATTTAGAAGGGAGACCTTGAAACTGTTTGATGAAAAGTGCCAGACAGGAAGAGCAAAACCAATCATAAAAATGACTTGAAAAAAAGTCACAAGGCTTTATGTAGATTTAATCAAGGGCAAAATATTCCAGTACAGATGCTCTTCTTTGAAGTATGCAGTGCTCTTTTTATGACTATTCTTACTCAATTTCCTTACACATGGTTTTAACATTTTTCCATTCTACCTCAATCTGATTGCTGGAATGACCTGAATTTTGTAGCTGGCTGTTTTTCTGCATTGTTTTTTTGAGGTGCTGGGGATCAAACTCATTTCTTTGTTGTGTGCACTAAGGGGCCATTCCAGCCCTCCTCTACCTTTCAGCGTTACTATTTATATCCTGTGCATCTCCTCTAAGCAGCCTGTGGGTTTTAGAATACCCCTATTAAGAAGTAACCCCTTTAGATATTGTTTCTTGATTTTGTAGCAAGTAAGAAAAATAATGTGTCTCCCCAGGTTTTGTGCGTGCATTGTTCATATGGTACCACTAAGCTGCCACGTAGATCTTTAGCTTGGTTGAAGTAGGAATTTTGGTAACTAAGATAGTGATCTAAGCACAGACTGAAGGGTGTCTGAGTTAGACTTGCAAAGCTTTAGTTTAGCTCAGCCTTAGAGAGCTACTACCTATTGCTACTTTATTAAAAATTCTGAGACGGCATGCTGACTGATCCTTCAAGACTAATCCTAGTACTCGGAAGTCTGAGGCAGGAAGATTATTTTAAAACCCTGAAGACAGATTGGGCTGCACAATGAGCTCTGGGCCAGCCTTAGATATAAAATGAGACCTTGTCTCTAGATAAACGAATAATTCAGCTTTATTGGACTAGCACTAGGACACTTGTCTACATTTCTCCAGAAGTGAAAAAAAAAAAGGAGGAAAGAAAGCATTTCTTTTCCTCTGAAATCTTACAAATCTTAGACAGATATATCTTTATAAAGACAAAGGGAGTGAATCAATCCCAAATCATGTGATAAAAATCCTTTGTTCACATGCCAGCCACTAGACAAGCCCAAGTGACCAGTATTTATAACCAGCTTGCAAGTGCACTGTCCACTTGTCAGCATTGTGTGACCCATTATTTTGTCATGTTTTGGTTTTGTTTTTCAACCGCAGCCAACCGCAGAATTGTTTACAAGATGGAGAAAGATGAACAAATCCCAGATGGAATGTGCATTGATGCTGAGGGGAAACTTTGGGTGGCCTGTTACAATGGAGGAAGAGTAATTCGCCTAGATCCTGAGACAGGTAGGATGGAGGCAAAATAGAAAATCCCTGCCAGTTCAGAAAACACCAGTGCTAGCGACCTTACTAATACAGTTAGAGTTATATTAGTGGTCTTAACTGGTGATTTTGGAAATGGAGACAAAATACACAACCCCAAATTTATAGTCAGAGCTTCTTTTCCTATGAAAGTAAGTCTCTCTGCCAAAAGTTAATTGTCAGAGAAGACAAGTTAAATGCATGGATGGGAGCCAGGTAATATGGTGGCTATAGTCCTAGAAGTCAGGAGGCTAGAACAAGAGTTTGAGGCAGCCAAGTCATGTGAGGGTTCAGAGTGAAACCTACATTAACCCCTTCCAAGGGATGAATTCTGACCTCCATGGTCTCTTAGACCATCCCTATCATTCATAAAAGGTCCAGAAGTGTTGTGTATGTTGCAAATCTCTGCAGCTAAATTTCAAATGAAGTATTTGATGACCTAGGGAAAAGACTCCAAACTGTAAAGTTGCCTGTTGATAAGACAACTTCATGCTGCTTCGGAGGAAAAGATTACTCTGAGATGTACGTGACCTGTGCCAGGGACGGGATGGATGCTGAAAGACTTTTGAAGCAGCCTGATGCTGGTGGCATTTTCAAGGTGATGTGGTCTTATTTGGGGGAGGATGGGAGATATTATGTTCATAATCGATTGGTGCTTCTGCATATTTCCCAAACAAACATGTGATTGGCATGTTAAGCTAGTCACACTAAACTTAATTATTTTATTTCTAGACTATAAGTTATGTAAAGTTCAGGACAGTGTGTCTGACCTACTTCTACTATTTTAAAGTATTCTCAGGCTTCTATAGTGTTTGTAAGATCATCTGATTGTTTTGATGTTGTAAAAAGATATGCAGGTTTTTAACAACTCTGTTTGTGACAGAACAAACACTGATTTAAAAAATCATGCACACTTTGGGGTTGCAAACTCTTGTGGAAACCTGGCTGTGGCAGTAAGCTCCTCTAATCTCAGCACTTGGGAAAAACTGAAGCATAAAGATGGTGGACTCAAAGCCAGCTTGGACTATATAACACAATACTTCTTTTTAAAAAAATACAGTACAGGGGCTGGAGAGATGGCTCAGTAATTAAGAGCACTGGCTGCTCTTCCAGAGTTCCCAGCACCCACATGGCAGCTCACCAATGTCTATAACACCACTTCCAAGGGATCCAATACCCTCATACAGACACACATGTAGGCAAAACACCAATGCACATGAAAAAAAGGTTTAAAAAAAGTAGAAACATAGAAACACTTTTCTTGACAGGTGAGAAAATGATAAAATTGTTTTGTGTTAGTGTGCATGCTTGCTCATTGAACTAGAATGTATGTGAATGACTGGTTGAACCATATAATACCTAGTCAGCTAATTCTTTCTTGTGATAGAAAATAAAGCAGAGGTGATTAAAGGTAGCTAGACATGTTATTATTTTTTTCAATGTATTTATTTATCATGTATACAGTGTTCTACCTGCATTATGCCTGCAGGCCAGAAGAGGGCACCAGATCTCATTACAGATGGTTGTGAGCCACCATGTGGTTGCTGGGAATTGAACTCAGGACCTCTGGAAGAGCAGTCAGTGTTCTTAACCACTAAGCCATCTCTCCATTCCCTAGACATATTATTTTAAATCTTAACTTGCTTGATGTTGGTGTATGACAAGCTCTCACTGTATAGCCCAGGCTGGTCTCACACTCACAGCAGCCCTCCTACCTCAGCCTCCCAAGTGCTGACATTACAAGTATAAGCTCCATGCTAGCCTTTGTAACAATGGTTTGAAGACTATAATTCATCAGTTTCATTCTTTTTTTTCCAACAGATAACTGGTCTTGGGGTCAAAGGGATTGCCCCATATTCCTATGCAGGGTGAACTGCATGTCCTTCTTGCTGTCAGAAGAAAAAGCTTTGAAGACAACTGGAGAATTAAGGGACTTAAGTCAATGAAATTTCAATCTAGCTTTTTTTTTAATTATTATAGCAGGGTTAAGCTTTAATTCATAATTTTGACTGGGTGCTAGGGAATAAACCCAGGATGTGGCATATTAAGAACATATTGTAACAGTGAATGACATTCTTAGTTTGTCTTAAGGTAGAGCATTTTTCACAGATAAGGAGTGGCTTTGATAACATACTCTAGGTCTTCTATTAAAAAGAATCCTGTAGAAATTCCAAAAGTCATTCAGCTATCAGCCTGATGACTGCAAATTGCTCTGGGGTTGAAATGGGACCGTGTCCATTGTTTCTCTGCATTCCATACTTGCTGTACCTAAAGCTTCAAAAAATTAATGCATTGAAACTTGGTGATGATTTATAATGATTGTGTGACTCTGCCTGTGTGTAATTGTACAAGCTAAAATTCCACCAGAAGACATGATTCAATCACTGTGGCACAATCTGTGGTTCTTACTGCCACCTACTGGATATAAAAATGAATACATCACATTGCAAAGAATTTTCTTTACTGTTTTTTTTTTTACATTTATTTATTCATTGTGTGTGTGTGTGTGTGAGAGAGAGAGAGAGAGAGAGAGAGAGAGAGAGAGAGAGTGTGTGTGTGTGTGTGTGTGTGTGTGTGTGTGTGTGTGTGTGTGAATGCACACGAATGCACAAATCGGTCAGAAAACAACTTATGGGACTCAGTTATTTCCTTCTATTGTGTGGGAGCAAGGGATTGAACTCAGGTGGCACCTTTATTGGCTGAGCCATCTAACTGCTGTTGCTGTTGCTTCCTCCTCCTCCTTTTAAAAAATATTTATTCATGTATTTTATGTTTATGAGTGCTCTATTTGCATGTATGCCTGCACTACAGAAGAGGGCATCAGACAGAAGAGGGCACCAGATGTTTGTGAGCCACTCTGTGGATGTTGGGAATTGAACTCAGGTCCTCTGGAAGAGCAGCCAGTGCTTTTAGCCACTGAGCCTTTTCTCCAGCCCCTTCTTCCTCCTCATTTGAGACGAGGTCTCTTTCATGTAGCTCAGGCTGATTTTGAACTTGGCTGGCCTGAACTCCTAATCATCCTGCTTCCATTTCCCAGGTGCTAGGATTATAGGTGTATGCCACCATGCCTAGCTTGGAAAGAATTTTTAAAGTAATATTGTTGAGCTATAATTAGCCTGATCATATTTAAAGTATGAAAAATTATCATACATTCATATATATGCTATATGTATTCATATCAATGACATAAGCAAAATAATGAATCTATTCACTACCCCGAAAAGTTGACTTGTGCCCCACTGTCATTCTTTCTTTCTGTCCCTTTAAATTGGCCTTAAAATTGGTTAGTGCCAGGCTGGGGATATAGCTCAGTGGTGAAGGGCTTGCCCACTATGCATAACACACACACACACACACACACACACACACACACACACGCACGCACGCACATGCGCAAGCAAGCACGCTCGCGCATACGTGCAATGCACACAAACGTACACACATACAACTAGTTAGTGTGATTTCTCCAGGTTTATTCTGTCTTGTTTAAGTTTTGCTTTGTTTTGTTTCTCTTTTTGAGACAAAATACCACTCTGTCAGCCAAGCAGACCTTGAACCCCTGTTAGTCCTTCTGCCTCCACCTCTGGAGAAATGGGATTATAGACATGAGCTACCACTACCAGCTTCCAACATCAGAATGGTTTTAGTTGTGTTAGTATAGCCTCCAATAATATTTAATTTTACTCATGTCTGGGTTTGGGGGATTGAACTTAGATACATGCTAAGCATGTGCTCTAGCACTGAAATGCACACCAGCCCATTTATAAATTCTTAGATCACCTTGAATAAAACATGCTCCAATGTTAATTGGAATTTCTTTAAAAGTTGTTGGACAATTTGAGAGAATTGGCTCCTGCACTAGTGACTTTTTGTTGCTGTGACAAAATACCTTACAAGAAAGAATTTGCCATTTCCTTTGGCTCAGTGTGCAAGTACAGTTCATCACAGAGGGAAGGTATGGCGGGAGGGGAAACTCAGCTGGGGAAGCAGGAGTGTGAGACTTATTACATCTACTTTCTAGAACCTAAACCTCAGTTTCTCCTTTTTGTTCAGCCTGGGATCCCTGATCATGGAATGGTTCCACCTGCATTCATGGTGGGGTTTCTGCCTTCAGTGGAAAACACCCTCATACCCACTCCCAGAGGTATATCCTAGGTTATTCTAAGTTCTGTCAAGTTGACAATAGAGACTAAACATGCCAGCATCGTTATACTTTTCAGTGCTCAGAGAGCTTTGGTCTTTGGCATTTATTTTCGAACAGGGCATGTCTCACTAATTATTCAGTGTCTTTCACTACTGTTTCATAAATTTGAGCACATCGATCTTGCATGTGTGTGGAAAAGTATGTATATAATTATTGTTGCATTTTTAATATTCAACAAAGTTAACCAGTGAAACAATTTGAACCCAGAGTTGTTTTAAGATAAGGTCTAGCTATTTTGCCCAGAGTGGCCTAAATTATCAGCATCCTCAGGAGCTAGGACTACATGCCTTGTATCATGCTCCACTTGTGTTTTCATTTTTGTTCAATTCTAAATATTTTTAATTTT